ATGTCTTACTGCTCATATTTGGTGGAGGTACTTAACCGGGTACAAGGTATCCCCCTGTATATTAATCTGCCGCGTTTTACCAAATCCCGAAATCCCCGCTTGGGCTCCCCTATTATAATATCATCACAAAATTTTTTGACAGTACCTTTGATGTTTCGCTCATTGAAAACCGTTTTTTTGTTCAGACAAATTGAAAAAGCTCACTTTTCTCTCATTTTCAGGAAAGAATGAATACAAACCTAGCGCCTTCACGCTGTTTGCTGCAGAACTGATTGGCACGGGTCTCTTAATGTTTCTCGGATGCATGGGTTGCGTAATAGAAGTTGATAACCCTCCTGCCCCACATCAGATGAACTCTCTCGCTTTTGGATTAGTAATTCTACTCATTATACAGGTAGGTATGAATTGAAGAAGAGATAAATCAATTACAAACCGGCAATACAATATGAGAAATTCAGATATAAATTATCTAAAAGAAAGATTCGTTCAGACCATTTCCTACTCACCTACACACTAGGTTAATGGACTGACACATTTCACAAAAAACTACTACCCTGGCTAATACCACGAAGGGCGTTGGATTATATCCGACAGTTTTCGTCAGGTCTGCCATGGAATTCAAAATTGAAACAAAATGATATACAGGGCTATTCAAATTCGTTTCTGTACAAGGGGATCTCGTAAACGATAAGAGATAGAGTGTCTGTTGAATCATGGCAAAGTTGTGTATTTTAGAGACCTTTTCAATGATGTAAATTGAATAATATAGCTCTTTTGGTTATGGAGATATACAGGAAAAACCAAAAAATCCCAAATTATTTTTTTGCCTATATCTTCTTTATTCGCAGACATATTGAAAATCTGTCCACATTTTGCTATTGGCACTTGATGTGGGCTATCAGAATATGTCCATGAATTTTTTATACAGGTTGTCATCTGACTTGGGCCACCCCCATCTTTGAATTTTTAAATACGGAACTGTATTTGTGTTGTAGTTTTTGGATCGTAGACGTTCACTTCATACTGAGAAATGAAATTCAATTTTATATTTTGGGATGTTTCGGTAATATTGGATTATACTTGTGTGAATTATTCACTTTTAAATCACGGCCCTGGAAATTGGTTGACTGAGTTGAATAAAAACATAATATCAACTTTCACGTCTCCCTAT